TTCCATCCCTATCACTTTCTGCACCCACTAGAGCCCCCATCCCTATCACTTTCTGCACCCACTACAGCACCTATACCTCCTAGCACCTGATTCTGCCCCTACCACTCCTGTACCCCCTACAGCTACTATCCCCACCATGCACACACTACCGTCCCTATGACCCCTACACCTACTACAGCCCATATCCCCTCTCATGCACTGCAGCCACTATCAACACATACTGCAGCCTCTGTATCCCCCAGACGCCTACTATAGCCCCTATCCACAAACACTCTGCAACATGACACAACACTGCAAACAGCTCCATCCACACACACCCACCCCCAAAGAACCTCACTGTATGCACATAATCCCACAAGCAGCATCCCCACAAATTCAATACCACATGTAGCCTCCCTGCACATACATCACAAGAGGCTGTCCCATCATTGCAATACTGCATACAGCCTCCTTATACACACACAAACACAATTATTACAATTATTTGTAAAGGCACCAACATATTCTGCAGCACAGTACAATAGGTAAAACATGACAAATGATTAACACTTTGACATACAGGAACACAATCACAAGCAGCATCCCACACGTGTTTGGAGGCTACTTGTATGGTTGCACGTGTTGGACGCTGCTTGTGATGTCACCAACAAACACAGAGGATTTTTAATTAAATGTGCATTATTTCATTATTTTAATGAAGGGCGTGAGGCATGCCAGTAAGGGTTACTCCATTCAAAAACATTTTTTTTATTAAAACGCTGTTTTTGGTTGGATTAATCCCTTTTTCGGGTGGCCCTGCAGGTGTGGGAGTCATGACTGTGTGGCTCTCACACAGCCATCCTGGGTGCTGGGTAGAGTGCACATAATATCTGTGTAGCTGCAAAAAGACCTTGCACCAGTAAGGGGGCCCTTGATCTCCTGCTGACCGAGGGCCCGGTGAGAAGTCAGTCCGCCCCTGGCAACTCAAGAGGCTTCAGTCAGTGGATTCATAAAACTAGTAAAACTCTTTTGAGCCCAATATAGAGAGGAACATCGGTGCAAAGAACCTATTTCAGGCTGGGTCTTGTTCCTCACAATTTTTGTAGGTAAATGAGCTCTGCTGTCTAGGCTCCATACACATGAAAGTAACTCTGCCACCGTTTGAGGTCCTTTAGTTTAATTTGAGGTCGTAATTTAGAGAGGCAGGAGCAAAGGGAAAAGATTATCTGATCTTGGAGAACTCTTTCAAAAACCCTTGTACCTCTGGACATTTCCGCCATATGTGCGACATACTTCCAGTCTGTTGGGGTGACCGTTCAGTGATTTAATAGCATGTAAACATTTAGAAAATGCATTTTGTGTTTAGTGGTATTTTAACATGCTAGTTAGGGGGATATAATTTAAATAAATTATGGGGGCTTTATAACAGAAGATCTATTCTTGATATTAATAGCCCTCCTTCTTGTCTCTGGATTGTGAAATTGAAGGCCCCGTCTCCGATTCAGCCCACTGCTCAAAAACATGCTGTGGTGTCTGCCTACTAGCAGATAAACAGGTGAGCTACCAGATGTAAATTACACTTTATACATCATATGCATGCTTATTGGTCCTTGTGAGGATTCTTCTTCATTGCGGAGGAAAAGTGTAGCCTTATGTATTGCATGTCATGGAGGCTGGCACTTTATAAAGTAATAGAATTAAAACCTAGCATTTTAACTACAACCATGTGCATTGAAGTCCATATTTATATTGTAAATGTATTTGATCAGATTGTTGAATGAATTTCTTATCTCCCAACATATGGGAAACATTGGTAGCTTCCATTTACCTGTGCACGCAGTTTAATTCATTTAGGTAAAGGGATACTAAGCATCGGAACAACTTTAGCTTTTTGAAGCAATTTAGGTGCATAGATCATGCCCCTGCAGTGTCTCCGCTTATTTATCTGCCAAGGAAAAGGGTTTTGATTTTTACAGCAAAATGTGTTGAAGTCATCTCCTGCTCTGTTAATCGAACTTCAGTTAAAGGGACACTCCAGGCACCCAGACCACTTCTGCCCATTGGAGTGGTCTGGGTGCCAACTCCCACTACCCTTAAACCTGATCATAGCAGAAACTGATTCAAATGTCAAAGTTTGATATATCATGAAAATGAATGTAGTTTTCTTTTGCTCAGTGGTAGTTGTGGGTATTAAAAACAAACTAAAAGGAGAGTTTCAGAAATGCTAATAGTACATCCCATATCTCTTTTCAGCACGGGGCAGAATTCACAGATGGCATGTTAATGCACGGAGAAAACCTGTATCACCCAAGCTGTGCTAACTTCTGGATAAATTGCGTGGATTTAAATTTACCAGTTCTGTCTTGTCAAAAAAATTGCTCTTTTTGTACAACAGTACATGAAGGAAATCAAGCAGGAGAAAATATATGACCCCCACCCCGGGATATATAGATGATCAGTAGTCCACACCTGCATCTCTTGTCTTACTTGCATACGTTAGAACCTCATGGTTTTGTGGATAAGGAAAAGAAGATGCACATAACACTGCCTACAAACATGCACCTAGTGGAGTGGACTTAAAAACCTGAATGATTGATTGCCTTCCAACAAATACCTTGTGTATAGTGCAGTCTACGTGATGAATGTACTGTGTTTACTTTTATTAAGAATACATTTTTATACTAGAAAATGTTTTATTGTTCTGCATACTTTTAAATTTATTGATTGCATACGCAGCAATTTAATATGAAAGTGTATGTTACCTTGTGAGTACCTCTTTCACTTAGCTTTCTGGATAGGGAGATAGTTGTAGATTTAGAGCATCATTTGACAAACAGCACATTGGCAGCATCCAATTTGTGCCTTACTAATTAAAGCCTTGGACCATCAGAGGTATTTGCTGGGCAGAGCAAAATGGGTTAAACCCTTTGAGGTAAGATGGTGTGGGATCTCCTGGCACCATAACATCCTCATATAGATTAAGTTTTTATAGTGCCAGATTTTTAAAGAAGTCGACGTTTGTGAACTTTAAATTTGCAATTGCAGGTCCTTGTATTCATTTATGTAGTTTAATTTCATGCAGCCATTTTACCATATAAATATTTTGTGGAAATAGTTTATTCCTACATTTTTCGGTATGTAGTACATGGTGGCAATTGAGTTTGTCCACAGGGTGAGAAGTAGGGATCGACCGATTATCGGTTTTACCGATATAATCGGCCGATATTCGGTATTTTTGGCAATATCGGTATCGGCCAATTCAGATACCGATATTGACGATAACACCTCCTAGGACCGCCAGGCTCATTACAAACCCGGCAGTCCTGGGGGGGCGGGCAGCAAGCGTTTACTCACCTTCCAGCAGCTCCCCAGTGTAACTCTCGTGAGACTTACACTGGGGAGCTGGAGGAGCTGCTGGGAGGTGAGTAAACGCTTGCTGCCCACAGCTCAGCCAATGCCACTGGACCACCAGGGAATGCCATATCCCCCCTCCCTGGCCAGGCAACAAGCAGGGAGGGGGGACAAAAAAAAATTATAATAATTAAATATAAAAAAAAATAATAATTTAATAAAAAATGCCCCCTCACACACAAACACTCCATTATATACACAAACACACTGTGTATTTAATGCAGTGTGTTTGTATAGTGTGTGTGTATATAATGGAGTGTGTTTATATAATGCACACTACACAAACACACTGCATTATATATACACACACACACACACACACACTCTGCATTATATAAACACACTACATTCACTATATACACACACACATACACACTACGCATTTAGTATATACAGTATTCATTTTATGCACACACTAGACTACTACACACTGCATCCACAACACACACTACACAAACACTCTGCATCCACAACACACACAACACAAACACACGCTGCATCCACAACACTCACTTCACAAACACACGCTGCATCCACAACACACACACACACTACACAAACACGTTGCATCCACAACACACACACTACACAAAACACACACTACACAAACACACGCTGCATCCACAACACACACACACTACACAAACACACGCTGCATCCACAACACACACACTACACAAACACACGCTGCATCCACAACACACACACACTACACAAACACTACACAAATACACGCTGCATCCACAACACACACACACACTACACAAATACACGCTGCATCCACAACACACACACACTACACAAATACACGCTGCATCCACAACACACACACACACACACACTACACAAACACGCTGCATCCACAACACACACACTACACAAACACGCTGCATCCACAACACACACACACTGCATCCACAACACACACACACTGCATCCACAACACACACTACACAAACACACACTACACGCTGCATCCACAACACACACACTACACAAACACACGCTGCATCCAACACACGCTGCATCCAACACACGCTGCATCCAACACACGCTGCTGCATCCAACACACGCTGCATCCAACACACGCTGCATCCACTACACACATACACACTACACAAACACACTACACAAACACACTACACAAACACACACAGCTCCCCTATCTAAACACACTGCATCTACTACATGTGGCATGTATATTTTGTGCATTTACTTTTAGAAATAGTTTTTATTTTCCAAAATGGTAAATGTACAGAATATCGACAAATTATATCGGCTATCGGCCTGAAAGTTCACAGAATATCGGTATCGGCTCTAAAAAAAATCAATATCGGTCGATCCCTAGTGAGAAGACGATAGCGTCTATAGGAAAGCATTGAGAATGCTTTCCTATGGACTGACTGAATGCGCGCACGGCTCTTGATGCGCATTCAGCCGATGACGACCGAAGGAGGAGTAGAGTCCCCAGCGCCGAGGGAGCCCGGCGCTGGAGAAAAGTAAGTGATTTAACTCCTTCCTCCAAACAGTGACAAAGGAGTGAAAATTGATACGGTTTATTTAAAAAAATTTTTTTTACTAAATTAATAATTAACAATTAATAAACTGACGCACACCACCTTGCAAAAATATCAATTCATTATCACAATCAAAGCACAGTCATCTAACAAGGACCTTGATACAGATATGACTTATCCATGAAACACAAAAATAAGAAGAAAATAAATAGAGCATATAGTCTAGCAGAAAAAAGGGGGAAAAATTTCACATTTTCAAAAATGTCACATTCAAAGAGTAAGGAGATATTAAGTCTATTTTAGGGTGTTATATAATATAGACTATTAATATATCTGGCAGCACATTTTAAAACAGTTTCCATAGTTTTTGAAATATTAAGACATATTTTGGAAAGACCTTTGGATGGTGAACTTGCAACATGGTGTGCAGTGGCCTGAAGGTGCAGGGGAAAATAGATTTTAATAACCTGAAGCTGTCCCTCACAGCTGCCGACATGTCCATCTGGAGGATTCTCTTCAACTCCTGGCGCCTCATCTGCCATGAGCGCTCGTCAATGTGAAAGTTCAACAATGGTGTTTATGGAGCAGACAAAGTAGGAGGGGAATCTCTTGACCAATAGGAAGCAGCAGCCCTGTGAGCTTTCAGTAAGGGTTTGAAGGCCAGAATATTTTCATCTATCATGATTTGCTCAATAGGATGGGACAAGAGAAAAGAGGAAAAAAAAACAAACCTAACTTTACAAGTCAGTGATAAACTTGTAGAAGTAGTTGACCTATTTTACAACAGCTTCACAACTTGTTTAAAAAACAACACAACCAAGGGACACTTTAGGCACCATAACCACTTCAACTCATTAAAGTGGTTACAGTGACTGCAATTGTGGGTGCTGTCTCCTACATCCATGCCAAACCATCTTACAATTTTGCAATTATGTAGGGCCCACTTAGTACTCACACCACTGTCCACAATGACTTTATGGCTTTGAGAGAGTGCTCTGCATTATGCTATACTAGTCAGTGAGTGATAGGCAGAGTTTGTCTGCTGACCGTTTCAACCAATCACTGCCTGCTCTCCCTATAGGAATCGTTGATTGGCTGAGTGCAGCAATTGCCAGGTACTGCAGTCAGTCCCCATTGCTTCTGCTTCCACAGGTGATTTATGATGTTGCTGCAACATGCTGCAACATGCAACATTAGATCTACCAGTAATCTACAAATCAAGGTGAAAGGGTTATAACTTTTTCAGTTTGATTAAAGGGACACTTGAGGCACTGTAACTGCTTCATGGCATTTAAGTGGTTGTAAAGTCTGAAGTCCCATGGCGGTGTCCTTCCATTCACAGTTAAACAATTTTAAGATAAGATTGCAGTGCTAAATGAGAGTTCTTAGCAGCCCATCCCCTCTGTCCTGCCTGGGTAGCTGTAATTTGCTATGGGTCTCAGCTGACTGCTTTCAGTCTATGACTAGAAGGAAGTGTATAATCTCCTTAGCCACAAGTCCAGAAGGGGCCAGGCTGTTACTTATTTAGCGTTACACCGGTCAAAAATGTTTTAACACTGGATGGAAGAACACCAGCTGAGGTCTCCAGGCACGTTATCCAATTGATTGAGATGAAATGGTTACAGTGTCCCTTTAAAAGGAAAAATAAACCTATACATTTGCCACAGTTTGGCTTGAACAATAGTATAGATGCAATGTAAAGCTCTTTTATTTGATGCTACGTTATAGCCACAACAAGTACATTTTAATCTGTCTGAATCTTTGCAATTTGCCTACATTTTTAAAATGGAATCATGTTCTTTGTTTCCTCCTCATAAATATCTGGAATGAGTCCCATTGGAGAGTTTACCATTTGGACTGTGTTCTTCCCAAACAGTTCCATCTCGAAGCGAATGAGTTGTTCCCAGAAGCCATTGTTGGGACGAATAATTGGTCTCCGTTTTTTGAGCAAAGTGTGTGCTGCCAGTAAGGACAAACCATTGTTCTTCATCAGGTAGGCAAGGCAAAGTGATGGGGATCTACTAATACCTGCGGCACAATGAAGCAATGTACGTCCTCCATTGGATTCTACAATGCAAATCTTGTCTGATATGGTTTCAAAGTGCTCAAACAAGAAGGAATCAGGAGTATCGCCCATTGGAAAATGGAGATATTGAAAGTTAGGATAGTGATGGTCAGTGTTTTCCAAGTAGACACTGATGACACATGTGATGCGGTGTGCAGTGAGGCAGATATAATTGCTGGCTACAGATGCATTGCTGAGATACAAGCCATCTGTTACCTGAATGGGTCCAGAAAGGGAACTTGTCTTGCTTTTGCTAGGTGGGGCATTATCCATGGTTCGTATCATCAGTCTGAAATGATAAAGAAAAAACATAATATTCTCCCCTAAAAATGGAACAACATTCTATCCAATATGATCACTGAAAAGATTTTCATATATTTTAGAGGGACACTCGTCTATGCTGTGGATGATAAAAAAAAAAAAAAAAAAATGAAATTTTTTTTTTAGGACAAGTACAGGCTCTTGCAGGGTATTAAAAGAGCAGGAAACAAAAAGTTTTAAATTAAACAGACTGTGAAATAAACAGATCTCTTTACAGGAAAAGAGTAGGGTCACATGCAGGAAAAGAGTAGGGAGACTGTAGGTAACAAGCAGGGGAGGTGTGCCGACCTACGAAGTATGTGTGCATGTGCGGCGAAGCCGCGCATGCACACAAGGGAGCAATGACGCTTCCAAATGGAAGAGTCTGATTGCTCCCTGCTCGCGCCCGCCTATTTCGTCATTTTGATGAAATAGGGGGCGCGGCTTCACGAGGCTCCCGGTGCTGGAAATCAGGTGAGTAACCTACTCTGATTGGAGAGTCCCTTTAATGTTGGCCATATTTGTATTTCTAATATTAAAGTGTTTTTTAAAATATGTATTCATTAAAAGGACAACACACCAAGCACCATAACAGTGCACTATAAATAGTAAAGCCATTTCAGAACGGTTTGACTTATTACTGTCTCCATTACTTTCAACAGAGAGCCGGAAGCTTCAGTAGGCTCCCCCATGCAAAGCCCTGCAGTGCAGGATTAGCTCATTGGCTGAGAGTGTCGGGTGATAGCTCTAAGGTAATGAAATAAGCCCTGCATCCCTAGATAAGCTCCTATAGAGAGCTTCTGGCTCTTTATTGGAAGTGGTAAAGGCGGGGAGTGGAGCCTGTTAAGTCAAATCGTTTTAAAATGGCTTTACTACTTACAATGAGGTGCACCAGGGCACTCCTGGCACCATAACTACTAAAGTGCACTGTAGAAATTTAGTCCTTAAGCCTCATTCACACTCATTAATACTATAGTTATGATTACCAGCCTGTCATTTAACACATTTCTCTGCCAGAAACTACTAGCTACTGATATAACGAATGTACAGTTGCTGAAAATGTAAGCTCCCACTCCTTTCAAAAGGTACAGGAAGTTTCATTGCATGAGATCATTCCTACAATCAGGGAGGGGGAGAAATTAAGGGATTTTACAATTTTACCGTAAGTATTACAGTAGCATTCAAGAGATTGATAAAGTTTGCTATAGCAGTTTTAAAGGGACACTAAAGGCACTCAGACCACTTCATCTTGTTGGCCGCAGTGCCTGGCCGAGCCCCCTTTTCAGAAAAACCCACCTGGTGCCCTAAATGCATGTGCCCTCCGATGGGTCCCACTCAGTCTCCGTGTGCAAGCCCTGGTGCAGCCATACTGGCTGCAGTTCCGCCACTGGCTGAGGTCAACAGCGGAAAAGTGCGAACCAGTTCCGAGGAACATTGGAGCTGGAACTGAGTAAGTGTAAATAGATGTTTTTTTAACCCTTTATTTTCCATGGGAAGGCCGCTATAGTGTTAGGAATACAGTATTGTATTCCTAACAGCATTGTTTTCCTTTAATTTGGAAGTTCTTATCTCCTGCCCAGTCAAAGGAATACTATAGTAACTCAAAACACTCCATCTTAATGAAGTGGTCTGGGTGCAGAGGCCCTATCCTTTGAATCCTGCAATGTTTACAATGTTACAGGATTAAGTCCACCTCTTGTGGCAGTCTTTTCTAACTTCGTTATTTCTGCAAAAAATGGCAGGATGTAGGCAGAGCCACATTAAGATTACCCAGGGCCCATGGCAGCATATAACAAATTATGGCTCCCTTTTAAGGCCTTGGACTCTGTTTGTGTGTGCGTGGGAGATGGCTGAGGGCTTTGTGTAAGGCAGAGTGTTCTGTATGTGGAGAATTCCGTCTGAGTGTGTGTGGTTAAATTTGCTATTTGCACACTCCAGCTTACCTTTTGGTAAGTTTTAGAGAGATTGAGTTTCAGAAAGCAGAAGGACATCCAATCAGAAATAGAAGAAAGGCAAGCAGTGACACGTTGCAGGACCTTGGGGGAGAGATATAGCTGGTTGTCTTCAGCATACAAATGGTAGCGGAATCCAAAAGGAGTTAATGGTTTTGCCAATAGAAGCAGTATAAAGAGAGAACAGAAGAGGACCAAGAACAGATCCTTGAGGGGCTCCAACCAAGACAGGGTGAGAGGAGGAGGTGTCATTGCAAAAGGAGACACTGAACGAGCATTGGGAGAGATAGGAGGAAAACCACAAGAGGACAGTGTCACAGAGGCCAAGGGATTGAAGAGTTTGGAGGAGGAGGACATGATCAACAGTGTCAAAGGCAGCAGAGAGGCCAAGAAGAATTAGTATGGAGTAGTGGCCTTTGGAGTTAGCTGTGATTAGGTCATTTGTAACTTTAAAAAGAGCAGTCTCAGTATGTTTTGTAAGGGCGAAAGCCAGATTTAAGAGGATCGAGGAAGGAGTTGTAATTTAGGAATGGAGTTATACGAGTAATGACAAGTCTTTCTAGAAGCTTTGTGGAAAAAGAAAGCAGGGATATGGGACGATAGTTGGAAGGGGAAGACGGGTCTAGGGATGGCTTTTTTAGGATGGGTAAGACAGTAGCATACTTAAGGGAAGCAAGGACAACACCAGATGAAAGAGAGAAGTTTAGGATGTGTGTTAAGGATTGTACAAGACAAGGGGAGAGATATCTGATGAGGTGGGAAGGTACTGGATCAAGTGGACAGGTGGTGGGACGAGAGGATAAGTGAAACCAACTCCTGTTCTGTAGCTGGGGAGAAGGCCTGTAGGGTAGAGAAGGTACGGTCCATGTGTGGTTGCAAGAGGGAGGAGCTAAGGGGGTTGAATTCTTTCCTTAACTGTTCAATCTTGTCGGTAAAGTAGCATGCAAGGCTACCTGCTGAAAGGTCAGTTTGAAGAGTTGCTTGAGGTGGGCAAAGGAGAGAGTTGAAGGTATTAAAGAGATGCCTGGGACTACATGAGCATGAACCAACAGGAGAGAAAAAGTAGGATTGTTTAGCAAGGGTGAGGGCTGTGCTATATGAACACAAAATCAATTTATAATGGAGGAAGCTTGACAAGGTGCGGGCCTCCGCCAGCAGCGTTCAGCTGAACGGGAGCATCTCTGCAGGTAGTGGGTCGATTTAGTGTGCCAGGGTTGGAGGAGCGTCTTCCTTGAGGTGCATCTTTGGAGCGGGGCTGCAGCATCCAGGGCAGAGTTGAGGGTAGCATTATATGATAAGATAGCCAGAGAGGGACAGGAGAAAGTGGGGATGAACGAGAGTTTTGAATGGAGAACAGGTGATAGTTGCTGGAGGTCAAAAGAATTCAGGTCCTTTCTGAGTTGATGGCAGTTAGGGTGAGGCTGTTGGGTGAGGGGTCTTTCAAGAACAAATGATAAGAGATTGTGATCTGAGAGAGGAAATGGAGTGTTGTGGAGCTTAGAGATAGTGCATGCATTATTAAAAATAAGATCGAGGGTATTGCCAGCCACATATGTGAGATTATATACCCACTGCAATAAGCCAAGGGATGAGGTAATAGAAAGGAGTTTGGAAGCTATGGAGGTCAGGGGTGGGTTAATAGGAATGTTGAAATCCCAGAGAATTAGGGAAGGCATATTACTTAAAGGAAAGTAGGGAAGCCAAGCAGAAAAATGGTCAAGCTGCCATTTTCCTTGTCATCAGCTGAATACAATCAGATGGCCAAAGTGAAACATAGCTGGCTTGGAGAGTTTTCCCAGTGTAGCTATATTAACTTCAAATCTAACACTAACTTGTCATTCTCACTTTAGTGAATAAACCTATAAATATACTGAGGGCAACACTGAAAACACACTGAAAGCTAGGTCACCTGTATCACATCTAGTAATAAATAAATAAATGAAATATGGACAAGCTCTGAGAGCGACCATTCATTGCCTGCTCTGCTATACTGTACCTGACTGCGGGCGCGCTGCATCGACGTCACGCACAGCTGATAGAGCTCTAAACAGAGCCTGCACGCACCGTACTTCTAATCCCCGCCGAGCTGGGTTCCTTCACAAAGGCAGGATGTGGGCTCGGGAGCTTAGCGCTCTGAGTTCCAGCGTGCGAGCGCCCTTGCCAGGGTCACGTGCTGGTGTGTTTGTTTTGAAGGCTGTCAGAGTCACGTGATTGGTGGGGGTGTGTGTGTGCGATGTGGTCCCGGCTGGCCCCGCCCCCTGTCGGAGTTGGTCTATGGGGAGAGCGGCCGCTCCTGGCTCCCTGTTCTCGGCTGTTCGCTGCCTCTCCTGCCCCCGGCACTGCCTGCTGTCTCCCCCGGCCAGTGACATGAGCGGTCCCGCTCCGGCCCCCCCGGGCACCCCAGCCGCCCCTGGCCCTGACACCTACAAAGGCTGGCTCTTCAAATGGACCAACTACCTGAAGGGCTACCAGAGGCGCTGGTTCGTCCTGAGTAACGGGCTGCTCTCTTACTACAGGTAATGGGGGGCATGCCACGGGGGGCTCTCACTGGGGGGCTCTCACTGGGGGGCTCTCACTGGGGGGCTCTCACCGGGGCAGAGACAGCTACTGACTACTAATGTTAACAGGCGGCATGACACCAGCCCTGGGGGGGCACAGGGAGGGAATACCCTGGGGTGAGGTGACAGGGGGTGTGAGGATGAATGTGGGCACTGGGCACCCTGGGGGTCTCTTCATGCTGCAGGGGGCATTCAGTGTGAGCTGACAGGGGGCAGGAGGATGAATACAGGGGGTGTGAGGATGAATGTGGGCACTGGGCACCCTGGGGGTCTGTTCGTGCTGCAGGGGGCATTGAGTGAGGTGACTAGTTGGCATTGAATATGACAGCAGGTTGCTAAGGTCACACAGCTGGGAATGGAATAGGGTATGGATGGCATGTGGGCAGCAGCTGGAGGTGAACACTCACCCTGGATGGCATGGTGGGTAGGAGTGGGCTGTAGGTGGCACAGCTGAGTTAGACACTGGTACTTCATTTGGGCAGATGAGGTTTAGTATTGATGTGTCCAGGTTATTGATGTGTCCAGGTTATTGATGTGTGTCTTGGTTCGTGAATACATTGGGAAGCTTGCATTGGTCTCTTGCACTTTAAGTGAGTCCTGGAGGGGAGCATTGGAATAGTAAATTATGAAAAGCAAATTGCTGCTGCTTTTTGTGCACTGCACGCTATCAACATTTGTATCACAAATCATTATTCGTATGTAATCTGAATACTGTAGAAATGGAGTGTCAGGTTCTCAGGTTATGTATATAAAATGTTTTAATTGTTAGTGTAATATTACAGTTTACAAAAAGAAAAGAAAGTACAGTGTGATTGCAGCCAGGCTATTCAAGAACTAAATGACAAAGGAGGACACTTTAATCCAAGGCATACCTTTGTTCTGCTTCCAAAGCACATTACACATACTAAATGTAATGTATTAAAAGACAGGGTTAAAAATGCCATTCATCAAAATATTATATTATTTAGTTTCATTACAGTGTAGAAATTGCAAGTTTCATTAGGCTACACATACCTAATTATTATTCTAAAAAAAATGTAAACTTTTGATTTTTTTTTTTCTTAAATGAAATGTTCTATAAATTTTTATGTTGATTATGTGACATGATTGATAGAAACATGATATTTAGTGTGTGAATTGTGATTAATTACGTTATTTAACATGTAACTGTGCAGAACCCTTCAAACTCCCAGGCCTCTGCTAGAGGACCCGAGAATGAGGAATAAACATACCACCCAGGAGGGGTGAGAAAATAAATCTTTTTTTTTTTTTTTCTTCAATTATAAACTACTTTGACTTATTATTTTGAATGCTTATATATATATGCAATATATATATATTTATGCAATCCAATCTCTGGCACTCACCAAAAGTTAAATAATAATTCCAAAATGACCCAGGTGCTTTCCAGCGCAAATATAAAACAGTAAATAAATGTGCTCCCTTTATTTACTGTTGTATATAATCTATATCTCAATCTCAATTTTTTTACATTTTATTTCTACATTGGAGAATCAAGCAAACGAGAAAACAAACGTATTCCTAATGCTGTAATGTTCTATAAACTGGATGGCTGTTACCTTGTTTTGAGCGACAAGACTTGCTTGTCACAGGCACCTACCGTGTGACTCCTCCTTGACTTCTTATCCAATCCATAGGACGAGATACAAAACACATGAGCTGCGAGCGACCTAGTCCTCCATTCAAATGCTTCTGATGCTCGTCATCTCAAGAACAGAGTCTGACTTGGTTCTGAATGTGGAAGTATCCTCTAGTGTTTAACCCTGCAATCAAAACAGAACAGCATTGTTTTATATTTGTAGAGGTAAAACGCCAGGCGTAGTGCACTTATACCACTTGAGATAAAGTGGTTTGGGTGTCTATAGTGTCCTTTTAAACTCGTAAAATTACTGGGCCCTACCATTCCGTCATTGAGAGCATTAAGATCAATTACAGTTGCCTTTATTATAATGTTCAGAAAGTCTCCTCATTGTAGCTCCACCTGTGCAGTCATCATTACTGATGACTTGTGCCTTATCAGATATTTCTCATAGAGAAGCATTGGAATGCACAATACTTCTACGAAAGCAGTGCTTCTCTATGAGAAATACAGTTTCAAGTGTGTGACTGTCTGCTTGGCTTGGCTGTCGGGAAGTGATACTAATGGAATTTATAAAATGCAGATTTCTTATGAATCAAGCTTAAGGGAATGTAGTGTTAACCCCTGAAGCACTTCAGTAAACTGAAGTGCTTTCGGGTCTGGTGGTGTCTTCCTTCAAACTTTCTAGTGGTACTTCTCTCCTTTTGAAATTCGTCAACTTGAACCCTTATCCTACATTGCTCTTCTTTACACCTCATCAAAAACCAACATTCCTCCTAAAATTCTAATGTACATATTCATGAAAGCGACCAAAATATTTACATTTTAGCCATCTCATCACACCAATAATTGTTTCTCAATCACATCTTTCTCTTTCACACAGTCTCTTGTCTTTCTGTGTCCTTTATGTAAATATATGGATGTTGGTGTGTGTAATATTGTTTTATGTAAATTTCTACTTTTTGTCATCTTATTTATCTGTTCAAGTAGGGATAGTTTGAGCTCAATTTATTAGATGCTGGTATGCTTTATAAGTTGTGGGATACTGCCATTTAAATTGGTGGATGTGTGTGCCTGTGTATACAGCTACTTATGAATGCCGTGTTTGCGGTCTTTACTCCCCTGTGTAGATAATATGTGATGGCAATTAAGCCAGCATAATATGTAGCTGAAATTGAATGACAGTCATATTCTGCATTACGGGTCAACTTTAAAAAAGCCTTTATAACAAATGTTATTTATTTGACTCCTATTTTTAAAATTCATTCATATACTGCATTAAATCTAAATTGATTACCTTAAAACATACGTTTGCTGAATTGTGTAAAGCTTGCATAAACTAATTAGTTTCAAGCGTTTGGATTCCCAATGTTATACTTGATTAACATATTTTATTCTTTATCTATTGAATTGTGACAGTTTGAAATTTTTTTTATTGATCACATTTTAGACAATGTATTTAATAGAAAGTATAACAATTTTTTTTTCTATGTAATATTTCTTCCCATAACATGTATTTTGTCCACTTGGCAAATCAGACACAAGCAGTGGTGTTACAGGTGGTTTATTGTTTTACATGATTGGTGTAATGCACAATAGTCTTTCAAAGATCTCTACCACTGATCAATCAAGAAGAACCATGATTTGTGTTAGCATATAATGCTGGCACCACCCATTGACAATCCCTGCTACCCCCATAGTCTTTATCTACGGCGTATATATACATGTCCATCCTGTTTATTTACAAAATTATGAATTATTGAGAATTCAAATACAATTTTGAAATGGCAGACCTAAATAGCCAGACCCTAACTAGCCGTGGTGCTGGTTATGGTGCCAATAAGTTATGGACTCAGGTTCAGCCCCTCACTTCCTAGATTGCTAATGCGGACGTTCCACCCATTTTGATAAGTATGGCAAATGAAACACGCGACCAGTTAATGCCTTCCGGATTTGAACGAAATTAATATAGATAATTAGGCAAACAAGGGGCTGAGCTACAGGTTCCTGGGGATCATCTGTTTCTCTCAATCCACGGCCTCTAGAGGTGCTTTCTGGGTCAGTGCTGCACAGTGTGTAGCACCTACGTTAATGTTCCTCATGAGGATGCATTGATTCATTGCATCTCTATGAGAAGTTGATTGGTGCAGCGTGACTGTCGCAGTGAAACGCACTGACAGACGCACACTAATGTTATACACACTCACTGATTGAGACACACTCACAGACTGAGACACACACACACTTGTTCACTGATTTGACACACACCAACTGCTACTGCAACACTCACTTACTCACAAATTATTACTTTTTTAAATTTAAATCTACACAGCCTCCCTATCTTTGGGAGAGCTGGAGTGGATCAAATATCCCTGGGATCCAGTGGTGCTGCTCTGATCACCTCCCTGCTTTGCTCCCTAGAGAGCTGTCTTGTAATGCGGGGCTGGACTGACATGATAACCTGGCTCCCTGCTTCATTGGAGGGTGTGTGAAGGAGCAGAGCAGGGACATTACAGCTCCCTCGAGGCAGCCGCTGCACTCAGTCAGTCGTCCACCTGCCTGCCCTCCTCCTTCTGCCCTCCATGAGCCGCCCGCCTGCCTGAGCCCTCCGTGAGCCGAATGTCAAACTCCAATCTCAGGCAGCTGGTCACCTCAGGGGCTGAACAGGCTCACAAATCCCAGGCGCCAGGACAAATATTCTGGTTGTCATGTCGACCTGGCACCTGGGATTTGTCGAGCCCTGCATGAACACTAAAATAAGGTACAAATATGTTAACCGCATTGTTAAAGCAGCTTCCAGTTTTTGTGTGAATAGTATTTGATCTTAGCAGTTTTGAGTTGGTGGGAAGGAATTTGCTGTTGCACAATTCTTTCTCAAGATGGCTTTTTAAAAAGCAAATCTATCG